CTTTGAAGTAAGCCTAAAACCGTTTAACTAGAATAGTATTTCGAAAGTTATTAAGCACAAAAGATGAATTGCGTTTATTTTGATACACCCTGTATATTTTGATCCTGATCTTCATCCAGACGACACTTTTTACGTGCTTTTGACGAATTTATCCAGAGCTTCGAGCTCCGATATGATGCACAATATCCTGATCCTCCTAAACATCTCTAAATGCGGCTATTGAACGATGGAAACTCGCAAACGACGATATAAAGCCAACGGTTGATGACTATAACAACATTTGCGACGAATGGCGATCAAAAGATCGCGTGACAAAACTCCTCGGTATATTCTCATCGAAACGATTGTTTGCTGACTGGAAAGTCTCAGAACCGGATGATTCCAAAAGAGCTAAGGTGACGTGGAAATATTTCGTGACAACAATGCAACAGCACTACAAAACAACAAAAAATCTTACACTTAAAAGCCACCAGTTCCGGTCTTTGGCACAGGCGCGAATGAGTCGTTTCCGACATTTTGCAATCGCGTATATAAAGCAGCTCAACACTGCAATTTCAAATGCCACAATGACGATTGCACTGCCGAAAATACAGCCATACGTGACCAGATTATTATTGGCACTACACATGACAAGATCAGAGAGGAAGCCCTCAAGAATTCATGGGACTCCAACAATTACGCAAGAAAGGAATGCGAATTGAAAGTGCCACCAAAGGACTGGATGAGCTCAACAATGAAAATCCAGTCAACAAAATGGGTAAATACTCCTTTAAAAACATGAAGAAAAAACCTGAGGCTGGCAAGCTCCGGTCATGTTACTACTGCGGACAAGACATCAAGACATCCGTTATTGCTCACCTCAAATCCTGCAGAGCACGAACCAGCAAATGTAACTTCTGTGATGCAATTGGACACTATGAAACTGTATGTAGGAAGAAGAAAGCAATCAATGAACTGAAGAACAACAGCGAACAACAAGAACATCAAATCGAAGATCATGACCAAAGCGGCGTCTACAGCATCAACATCTTGAGAATAACCGAAACACCTCAGCAACAACAACCTCATAAGAGACGCATGAAAACCAGAGATTTCAACGCACAAGTCATCATCAGCAATAGCCTTGCAAAAGTGTTGGCTGACACAGGTGTAAGTAGCAGCGTCTGTGGAAGAGAGCAAGCACAAAAATGGAACCTCCTGTCCAGAATGGTACCAACCACGACCAAAGCCAAGCCATATAACAGCCCGACAATATCAGTTATTGGAATTGCCAAATGCGCTGTCACATTTGGCTCCACATCTATTCCAGTTGATTGGCACATAATTGATACACCATGTGAACCTGTACTTGCAGGACAAAGTGCAGTACAACTGGGGATAATCCAGTTTGACCCTCAGGCCGATGTTTACCAACCAGTACGGATGATCCAGTGTAGCAAAAAGGAAGCGCTTCAAGACATCTTAAAGAAATATCCGCAGAATTTTGAAGAACTTGGAAAGTTGAAAAACCACCAAGTTAAACTGCATGTCGACACCAGAACAGAGATTGACAAGATGGTAGCCCAAGATGTCATCGAAGAACATCCACCAACAGAACCAGCACCTTGGGTGTCAAACGCAGTTATTGCACCCAAATCGGACGGCGCCATCCGTATGACCCTTGACGCTCGCAATGTGAATAAAGCGATCCAAGCTTCCAACCTGCCCATCCCAAGGCAAGAAGAAATTAAAGCTAAACTTAGCGGAGCGAAGGTGTTCTCGAAGATGGAGTTTAAATCGGCCTTTTCGCAACTTGAACTCCACCCAGATTCCCCGTACCTTACGGTGTTCCACGCAAACGGTAAACTATACCGATATAAGCGACTCACCATGGGCGTAAAGCCAGCACAAGGAGAACTTAACATGGCTCTTCAACCGCTTTTCGCACATATTCCACAAGCACACCTCATCCATGATGATCTTATTGTTGCAACAGAAACCGATGCAGAACACCATTCCATAGTCATGCAAGCCATCACTAACGCTGGTATAACCCTTAATCCAAGCATGTGCACTTTCGGAGCCACTGAGATCGAAATCTGGGGTTTGCGTATTGGTTCCGCAGGAGTACGACCAGATCCCGCCAAATTAGTGGAAGCACTAAAGCACATCACACCGCCTCGATCAAAGGAACACAGTTTTTTCTGTATGATGCAGTCCAATGCCGATTTCATTCCAAACTTCGCACAACACGCAGCCAAACTGAGAGAACTGACCAAGAAAAATAGTCGATTCACATGGACGAAAGAACACCATGCCGCTTACGAACCATTAATCGAACGATTCACAGTAAATACCCTACTCGAGTATTTCGACATGAGCAAGCCAACTTTCATTTTCACCAATGCACACACTATTGGACTTGGGGCCATGCTGGCACAAGGAGATACACCAGAGAGCGCAAGACCAATTGGTATAGCATCTAGAACAACAAACAAGGCCAAGCAGAGGTATCCACAAATCGACCTTGAGGCCCTTGGTAATGATTTTGCTCTACGACGATTTCGCAACTATATCCTTGGTTCCCCAACAGATATCCAGGTTATAACTGATCATAAACCATTATGCTCTATCTTCAACGGCAACCGTAAAGGCTCGATTCGTACAGAAAGAATAAAGCTCCGCCATGAAGACATCAGATTTACGGTAATCTACCAGTGTGGGAAAGTTAACCAATCCGACTACCTATCCCGACACGCGAAACCCATCAAGAAACTACCTCGGGAGGAACAAACTGAAGCGGATGACCTCAATAATCTCCTGTACCTACTTCATACAACACCAGCCATCGACTGCGTGGGTATTGGTGCTATTGCACAAGCCACAAGTGAAGACCAGACTCTGCAAAAGATAGCGGCACTCAGCAAGAAGGGACAGACTTGAATCCCAAAGACAGAACCTGCCGAAGTTCAACGTTTTCGACCAATCCTTCCACAACTCACAGTTACAGGAAATGGCATAATCCTCAAAGATGAAAGGATGATCCTTCCGACTAAGCTCCAAGAAAAAGCTATCCAGATTGCACACAAGGGAGCCCATCCCGGACAGCAGGGGTTGAAGCGACGGCTTAGATATAATTTCTTCTTCCACGGCATGGATAAGAAGGTGGAAGAGTTTGTAAAGTCATGCAGTAACTGCAATGTATTTGTGGATAAGAAGACGAAGGAGCCGATCAAACCACACCGAGTACCAGAGAAGTGTTGGGAAACAGTAGTAGTGGATTTATTCGGACCAATGCCATCATCTAAACATGTGGTGGCAGTACAAGACTTAGCGTCAAGATACCCTGCAGCAAAGTTAATCACATCAACAAAGGCAGACAAAGTCATACCAGCCTTGACAGAAATTTACGAAACATACGGCAACCAAGATGTACAGATCTCAGACAATGGTCCACCATTCAACAGCATTCAGATGCAAAACTTCGCCAAGACAACAACCCTCCTCGAACCAAGTCGAAACCTTTATGCGGCCCTTGGGCAAGGCTATGAAAACTGGGCGTCACAGCGGTATCCCCGAAAAAGAAAGCCTAAAAAATGTCTTGAAAAACTACAGACAGACACCTCACTCGGCAACCAATCTTCCACCGGCAGCTATGATTTTCCGCCATGGACAACGCCTGGACTTTCCTAGAAGACACGCAACAGACGAAGAGATGAGCAGGGCACGAGAAGCAGACCAGAAGAAGAAATTGGAAAACGAAAGTAAAGTAAATGGCTCCAGGTACCGGAAGAAATCTCATTTCGTAATCGGCGACAATGTCCTGATCAGAAACTACAATAAATCAAGAAAGTTTGACACTCTCTTCCTCCAGGAAGCGTTCAAGATCATTGATATGAACAGGGAGGGGAAGATAGTCACGGTACAACAAGAATGAAGCGGTCTCACCCTGTGTCGCCACCCGGATGATCTCAAACCTTCGAAAAGTCGACCGGACAACCACGAAGAGAAACAGGAATGCATGCAGTACGCCGACCTCCAATGGCCAGAAGTAATTGAGCACGATGACGACGACGAGAGCTACTGCCTGGCAAAGAGAGATACAGCACCACCGCCTAGACGTAGTCAACGGAACGGACGACCATTCCAGTTTACAAGTAAACACGATTGTTTACGAACAGTATTCATTTTATCTATTTGTGATAGGGGATGATGTATATGTATATATTGTGTTAATGTTGGACAAAGCGGGACATCAGGAGCGATGGGGGATAGTTAAAAAGAGCGGGAAAGGACGGAAAGAAAAGAAACATTACATTGTATACTAGGGGTTGATATTATTAAAAGAAACGAACAAACCAGTTTGTATTTGCAGGCTTGCGTTTACGTCAGTGTTGTCACAGATGAGGTAAATACAGATATGAATCTCCCGTCAAATTGCTGATTGTTTTGTGTCACACGGAATTCGCACTTCTGGCGAGCGCTGGCAAGTGTCGTTCTGAAATTTAATAAGGAAAGTAATAGGAAAACGCCGTTCGAAAGACGAAAGATTGTTGTTTTTTATCTAGCTACGCTACCGACTGCTATTTTTGGAATGAATTCTTCAAGAGTAACGGTAAGCGATCACTTTTAATGATTTCCTTTTATTAAAAGTGTTATATAACATTTTATGTTGCAAAAGTTTGTTTTTTCCCTATCTTCTCCTTATTAAAATCGTGAAATACGCTTGCTGAGAATTTCAGAGTTCATGTATAATAACAAAACAGCGAATGATATGAATTCCTCAAAACATAACTCTCGCATAAAAAAACATGAATACTTCTATAATATGTATAGTTTTATTCCTCTGCATTATCAAAATTTAATAAAATAGTGAATTAATATAATTTTAAAGTTTATGTATTCGGTGTGACATAATTTTTGCCGCGAGATACATATCTGTATTTACCACATCTGTGGTGTTGTCATGGGAACACGACAATCTTAAATTTTATATTTTTTTGAACAACACGCCAAAAATAGTTGAAAGATTATTGCTTTTAACTATATAACAATGAATTTCCGAATTATGTACTGTAGGTATGTTATTTTTCATTTTGTGAGCTTTGATTTAATGTAAAATTTAAACTGAATCGCTTCGTAAAATGTTTTGAAATGTTCATTTGAATAACTAAACTGCTTTAGTGTCGTCTTTGCCGATGAACTGTTTTTAATACTTGATAAGTCCAAATTGTGAAGTCATTTCAGTTAGGTCTTCAAATTAATTTGCTCTCCTTTACATTTTACCTTTTTTCGTAAATTAAACAGGGTAATTTAGGAAACTTACAGCTTGACTAAAAAGGAAAGCTGCATGTACTTTTAATTATACGCAAGAAATTATTAAAAGCAACAAAATTCATAAACATTCAACATTCAACTTGCACTATATTTCACGATTCCCATACTAAATAAATTCTTCTCATTTCTTCAAACAAATATTGCTTCAAAGCTCATTGTGTGATGCGTGATTTTCCAAATATATGCTTCTGAAAATTGAAATCTTGCTTATCCCACTCCTAGCAAACAGTCATATTTTTGAGATCAGTGAGGAGGTCCACCCATGAACCATAGTCACGCGCCCACGATCATTGATGAACTTTAGACTTCGCTAATGCTTTCCTTTCTCCGGGTGAAAATAGCCGGTCGGAATTAGTACCCTCGCCCCGGGCTAACGCCTGGAACGGCGCTTCCCGCCGTTGGCTTGGGGATTACTTACAATTTGAATTTTATAATTGTGGCGACATGTACTGTTATAATTGTGAAACTTGGAAGATAAGTTACAATTAAGTTCATGTCTTATTGATCTGGAGTTAGAAGTAACAAATGAAACACGTCCAGCACAATCGCATTTTCTTTCCGTTTGACTTCAAACTTCACTAGATATTTTTTTCTGAGATGAAAAACATAATTAATTCCACGTCTGATAACAATGGACCAGTTTAGTGGTCATGGCCAGAAATTGCGGAAATAATGTTTTCTATTCCTTTACTAAAGCTTGTTTTCCACCAGGGGAACTTTGCGCGCAGAGCGAAATTTTTCTTTGTCTTTTCTAATTAGTTCCACCCGAGAAATCACTAGACAAAGAAAAACTCCGCTCCGCGCGCAAAATTCCGCCTAGTGGAAAACAGGCTTAAGATTGATTATACGATTGGTATTGGATGCGCGATTGATATGTCGTCGGCGTCCAATTGTTTCGCCAATTGAATTCACCATTGCTTAGCATGACAGGTCCCGTGTTGGTTTAATTCCAGCGATTTCCACACAGTCACGCCTTATATATTGTGCAAGTTCTTCGGCTTGCTGTATTGCTTCTGCGGCATGTTGTTTTGCCTCATCAAGTTCTTCCCTAGCTTTCTTTAAATTCTTGCTTTGCAAATCATGTTTCTCGTTCACTGAGTGCAGTTCGCGAAGTAAATCGTCGTATTTGTCTGAGAGAAACTTGACGGAATATTTTAAGCCATCAAAATTAGAGCGTAATTGCTGTAGAGTATTGTTGATTGGCGTTAACTCTTTCTTAGAAAGGTCTTTCACATGCATCTCCTTCACTGTAAACATATTGACGATTTGAACTTAATTTCTACGGAGCATTGAAAAGAACGTCTGCTCCGCTCGAGCTTTAAAAAAATAAAGAAACAAAAAGCTTTAAATATATAAAAAACTTTAAATATATAAAATTATGTACAAATTATTCGCTTCTATCCTGGATTAGAAAACAATGCAACGTCGTGATAACATTTGTGAATTTTTTACTGATATATTTCTTTCAAAAAACCCAAAAGAAAAGATTCTACTGTACCAAATAGTCAATAGCGAACTTTTGTACGCTATTCTATGGTCGCCATTTTTATTTTTATTTCGTAAGAATTACGTAATTAAAATGACGTTATTTGTTTAGTTGACCACAGCTGTCCCACCGACTAAAAAGAGTCACAACTACCGTTGCTATGGAAACAACAACGATTGACTAAGGCCGTTACTTTAGATTTTAAGTTGTTTCACTTGAAACTAAAGTCGGTTACTCCCAATTTTTTCTTAAAAATAATTATTTTGGTATTTTAAATCATCGATATAATTTTTTTTAACGAATTATTACTGTACCAAATAGTTAATAGCGAACTTTTGCACGCTATTCCATGGTCGCCATTTCGATTTTGATTTCGTAAGAATCACGTAATTAAAACGACGTAATTTGTTATTTGTGGTCTACCAAAGGGCAAACCAAGAGGAGGAATGAGGGTCTTCCCACAATGCATTGCGTCTCATTATTATTCACAATTACGATTTTCAACGAACGTTTCGCGAAAAGTTGTTGAAATAC